AAGTAATTCCAACCAAAAATCTTGTTAGACGAAATTGTGCATAGTAAAAAATTTATTTAAATTAAAAATGGTTTGATATTTTTACTTGTTTCTTGGAATAACAAAAGGAAAAATGAAAATATTTTAGGGTTTAAAAATTAGACACTCAAAGATTTAAAAATCAGAAATAAAAACTTAAAAGAATAAAGATAAATATAAGAATAAAATAAAATTCAATTTAATTATGAAACGCACAAAGAACCTATGAAAGTGAAAAAGTAAAAAGGTTCATTCAATTGAACTATAAAAGGCCCAATTGCTAAAAACAACATCTTTAGAGGCTCCCAATAGCGTACAGAATATGAATCCACCAGGTAGTTATTGGGTCTTGATTCACGACAACATAAGCGTGTATGAGTGGAATAATGAAATAAAACTGAATAATAAAATTCATTTTTTTATAAAAAGGTAAAACTATATTTAACAATTAACCAAAACAATATTTATTATCGTAAAAGCTACCTAGATGATTTGTGGGTTTAACTTTCATGCTTTCTTTTGATTAAGACTGAAATTAGAAGGGGAGAAAAAAAGATGAAAGAATTAGAAATAATTTAAAGTTGACAAAAATATGTTGTATAAGAATGAAAAAAATAAATCTGTACCTATTTAGATAGATTAAAAGAATAAAAAAAATTAAAAATTACATTATACTTTTATAGTTTTTTTAGCCCTAATCCACATGAAACAGAGTTGAATGAGCCAGCTTTAATGCATTTTGAATTGGTTTTTATTTTATCTTTTATATAAAGTATTGAATGAAAATTTAACTTGTTTATCTTTACTTGAACTTTAAAACAAATTAAAATTACTATTCATAAACAAAAATAGGATGACTAAAATAAAACGTATCTTTTTCATGTTCTTCACTTGAATTTGGTTCAAATTGTTCTTCAATCTTAAAAACAGCTCGTGATTTTCTAAAAAAAAGTGATTATTATATTACCGTTAATATACAATGATTGATTTCTTTTGTCATCATCATCAATATACTTTTCCATAAGAAGACACAATCCGTGTTTGAAGTCTAAAATCATGATAGTCATTAATTTTAAATTTCCTTTTGGTTACTGTTATTTTTCCATCAATTATTACTAAAACTTCATAATGAACAAACGTTATTGGAAGAACAACTATTACGTATATATTCATTGTGTTGTTGTTAATGATTACTTTATGCTTCCTATTTATAATCATCTTTAAAAACATTATTTTGAATCACTAATAACAAATTTTCATAGAACCATGATGAAAGGTTCCACATGAAATATCAACAAGATATATTTATTTATTTAGTATTAGCAATACAAGGCCAAGTGAAAATCATTAGACCAAAACTTAGCATGTGGGTCAAATATGAAACACGAAAAAGTGGGGATTTTTGCCTAAATCGCTGGTTTTTGTTATTTGAATTAAGCGACAATGGTGTATATTTGTTGGTATATTATTAGCATATTATGATTTAAGTAACATTTAGATATAGCTGTCGTGTGATATAGTATTGAATTATTATGATCTTTAAAGGGTGATTTCGGGGTGCATGCATGTGCCACTCTTTGACAAAGACGCGAAGAAAGTGATATGTATAATTTTGTGGCCCATTCAAGATTTTCTCTCCGGATTAACGGCTAACTTATGGTCCATCATTCTTTGTTTTCATTCAGTCGTAAACCCTCCAATGTTTTCTTTAGGTTTTGGCGCATTACCAAACCCAACATCAACCATTAATCATTGTAAAGTCAAACTCACAATTAACATAGTTTTTCGGTTCTCTGTTTTCTTTCTTTCCTCCTTATCTTCTTCTTTGGATCGATATGTTGCGTGTGCCTTCATCAAATAATGCTAAACGTAACCTAATCATTTATGGATTTGTGTTATTGTGATTTTGATCGAAGAATGTTTTTCTAAAGTCTAAAATGTATTAATAGTTACTATATATAATTTTTTTGGGGGGGTTAATGTAGGAGTTAGATTGTAGAAAGGAATTATATGATTTTTGTTGTGAAATATAATCCGGGTCTATTATCTTTTCATACAATTATCTCTTCTGCGCTCCTTTTGATTATTTTAATATTTAATATTCGATTCTCGACATCGTGTGACGTATAAGAGAATTTATAAGAAAAACATTCAAATGCTTAAATAAATAAGGACAATAATAATAAAATATATTAAGGTAAATATTTATTATGAATCTATATTATTTTTTATAATTAAAAGGTAAATAAAGATAAAGGAGAAAAAAATAATAAACAGTAAAATAATTGAAAAAGTTTTTAAAAAAATAGGACTTACTCTCTGATTTCAATAGAGGTCATCGTGAAAATTAAATTCATCATTGAAATCAATAAATTAACGAAATAACCTTTAAAGTTACAAATCATCAATTAATTTAAGGTTAAAGATTTAATGACGCTTTTTCTCCTAAATATATATGTTTATATTTGGTTAATGATTTATAAAGATTTGAGTACAATTGAATCCTATAAAATTGTCTTGGTTGAGTTTCTTTAAACTCTATCCAAACCAAATTTGCATAATTTGATTAGATGGGCACTTTTCTAGGCTGGCTTACATGTTTACTTGCCCTTTACAAAAAAACAACCATTCGCAAAATCAAAAAGTTGTTAGGGAAGAAACATTGTTGTATTATTGAAATTGTGGAATGTAGTTAATAATTGTTGTTGTGTTAAGGTTTTATAGTTATAATATAACAATTTCAAAGTGTGAAGAGGAAGAAGATGTTGGAGCAATTATGACGAAGTCCACCTCATTATAGTCATGAAAAGGTCATAGTAGGTGGCTACCATGAGAACATATATACGCTATGCTTATTCACATTGATCTTAACCACTCGCCAAATTTTCTCACAAAAAGCACCAACCAAACTCCTCGTAAATCCACTCTTCACAACGTCGGAGTTGTTAGTATGTTGCTGGTTACAACCAAAGCATAAACAATCATATCACAACATCTGGTTGGAAAACATTAGGAAAGATCATAACCTACACGTAAATTATTCATCATTGCATATCACAATTCAATGGAATTAGAACATACTTACATTCCAAACCATAGCAATGTACTGTACAATTTCAAGAAATATATAGTGTCTAACTTTTTTATATATATATATATATATATATATGATTTTATTAAGTAGTACTCTCTTCTTATATTCTATTAAATTAAATTTCTTGGAAGCATCTTTTCATCCACACGTTCTCGTTACGATAGCGAAACTTCTCTGTTTGGTGTGATTTGCGTAGTACCATCACCAAGGATCAATTATTATTAATATTAATATTATTTATGGTTGACAAATTATTATTATTATTATTATAAAAAAAATATATATTAATCTGAACCAAAACATTCTCTGGTCTATACACGCTTCAGCTTTTTGTAGCATAAATTATCTTCATTTTTCTATTCCTATTAATCATCAAAATTTGATGTAAACTATACCTTTTGTATATATTTTTTTTATTTGCTCTTTTGTCTTGAATTTTATTTTACTGTTCATTATGACGATTCTAACTGATAAAAGCTTAAAAGACAAACCGTTATGGGATAATTTATAATTTAATTTTCTATTTTCTTAAATACACGTGACCTTGCTCTCTTACATTTCTCACTTTTTCTGAATATGATCCCTTTTTTGATTTATTAATTTCATATAATTTACTCTTTTTATCCATATAATTAGAAAATGTTAAAAGTTAAGAAAAACATTATATTTAGTTTTAATGAACCGTTATAACAAATATACTCATTTGTCGTACATTTTGATTATAATATACTTTTTATTTAAAACAATTTACTTGTTATATATTATAAATTATTTATGATAATTTGAATTATATAAAAATAAAAAATTATCAATCATCATGTGTACAGTACAGATACAAATTTGTTTACATATGTTAAATTTGAGTTGCTTTTATTTCTCATTCTTTCCTGCCTCTGAGGGTGATGTTGCAGCTACAACAACTCCTTTGCATATTTGAAATGGTTGTTCTTCATTGAATCCATTGAAATGACCACTCGAAGAACATTAACACAGATTGTCCTTTCATCAGACAACATGTGGATTTTGGGTCTTCTAAATCTGCTTTATTTACCTACTCAACAATAATTACCAGACATTTTCACAAATGCTCAACCTGCAACATTCACATTTTTGGTTTATTCAAGGTTTGTGCTTTCAACGTTCACTCCCCAAAAGCAATAGTTGAAGTCTGTTATTACAATTTGAACTAGGTAAGATATTTTCATAAGTTAGCATTAAACATGCTAAGAATTGTGCTTTTTCTTTTCTTTTCAATTACTTTTTCTATCACTTTTATAATGTCAAATAAAATAAAAAATTAACAGATGTTTTAGATTTGGTAAACTTGAATAGTGTAAAATCTCTCAGAAGTATAGAATTTAACCAATTTACAATTTAACCGAAGTTATGATCTGATAACAAGAAAGTTTCTAAAAGGACTATCTAAATGTTATTTCAACTAAAAGTAATTTAAACTCAAACTATTTAGTAATTATTCAAATTATACAAAATATAATTTAATACAAACTATGGCCAGATAAGAAAAAATAGTCTCACATATGTATATTAAAAAAAGAAAAAAGAAAAAAAGTGTTTCTAGGCTCCAGAAAACAAATTAAAAAGAAAAAGAAGAATTGATTAATCTAATAATAATAATAATATTAATTAATTAATTAATTAATTAACTGAAGAAGAGGAGGAGGAAGGAAGATTATTATTCTGCGTGTTACTCGTAATCCAAAAGTGATATATTAGGAATCGTAGTTCAGAAGAAAGGCTTTGAAGTCCGACAAAGAGAGTCGGTGAACGACGCGCACACCTAAACCACGCCACACCACTCCACTCACCATCGCCATTTCTCTCTCTTACACTTTCTCTCCCTGTCGCTTCCGCACTGTCTCCGCCGGGAATGCCACACTCGCCGGCCGCCGCTTCCCAGGTCTGTTCTCTCTCTCACCTTTTCTGCGCTTTACAGCCACTTTCTCCCCCTTTCGGACCGCCTCGATCTTGCCATTCTTGATTCGTCTGCGTTTCTCTTTCCAGATTTGCTTTTCTCGCCGTTTTTCTATTTTCCCGACCGAGATTCCGCTTTCATCATTTCTCTCTTTTTCGCTGTGGGATTCGGGAAGCGGAACGATTTCCTCTTTCGCGTTTTCGGGAGCAATTACTGTTAATATAGCCCTATCATATGTGTGTTTCCGTTCTAACAATTTTTTTTTTTTTTATTCTATTGCTCTATTGTGTTTTGGGAAAGTCGTGTCTATGTTCTCTACTCACTCTCTCTTTCGCGTATGTTTCTGTTTAAGGATATTTATTAAAAATCATTTCAAGTTCACCTCTATCACTTCTATAGCACTTGTTCTAGTTGTTTTCTAGGCATCCAAAATTTTCCGCATCAGTGTTTGGATCTATTTTCTGTTGAGTGCATCTTATTCTACATTAAATGCATTTAGCTGTCTTTCTTTATTATGTATGTGTTTACTGTTTATGTGATGTTGTGTTTCAGTGTTCTTCAGCTCACAGATCTAGGTGATTTATATGTGCAGCTGTTGAAATGAATGGGGCGCAGAACAGGAGGGTTCACAATGTTGAGAAACCTTTCCCAGGTTGCCTGGGAAGAATGGTGAATCTCTTTGATTTGACGGGGGGTGTGAATGGAAACAAGCTACTCACGGACAGGCCTCACCGCGATGGTGATCCCCTCTTTCTCTCTCCGCGCTAACTCTTCTTTTGTTTTTCACTTTGCCCTGGGATGTTTTCTTTTGTAACCACCAAAACATCGCCTTGCATGGTATAAGATTTTCTGGATGATCTTGCTTTTTGGCCATATTAACTCTCTGTTTGGAATTGCCACTGATGGTTATCTTAAACTTAGTTTTTGGCCTTTTTTTGTTGTTAGTTTTGGGGTTTGCTAGAGTGCTTGGTACTGTAATTTCCTGTTTGCCTGGTAGTTTTTATTTTTCCTTTGGGATTTTGTTCATTGACTGAAATATCTCTCTCTTGATGATCTGTCTGGTTTAATATATTCTGGGGCACTATGAAACCCAGCTGGAGGTTTCTCTAAATTGTCAATTTCTTATTCAATCTGCTTGGAATAATTTTACTTTTGCTTTCTAGTGTTGAAATTTTTCTCTGCCATTTTATCATCAAACCTCAGTCTCACTAAATTAAAACTTGATTGCAGCATCATCACTTTCAAGAAGTCAATCAGATGTTGCTAGGATCACAAGTCCTACTTTGGGTGATCATATAGAGGATAAGCTGGTAATTTTGTGGAGGGATTATTTTTTTATTGTCATTCGAGCTAACTACTGGAATCCAAGCTAATTGCAATGTCATTTGGAATGTTCTTCGTTTTTTCAATTTATTATATGCTTTCCTTTACTCGTTTTTATTTATCTATATTCCATTTTCACGGGCTTTGCAGATTGTTTCTGACTCAATGAGAGCTTTGTCAAATAAGAAAATAAATGGAACACCCATCAAGATGCTCATAGACCAAGAAATGTCCAAAGAAATTGTTTCAAAGCACAACCCACCACCAAACGTAGTTGCAAAATTGATGGGGCTTGAAGCCCTCCCGCGGGGTGATCCTAATTTATCTGTGGAGAGAAGCCATAGAGGAGATTATTCTTCTCAACATATGTGTGATCATTCAGGGACACCATTCAAACGCTGGCAGATGGATGATAGATTTATGGACAAGGAAATGCTGCATGAAGTTCATCCAAACACAGAACAGATTGCTTACAAGGATATTTATGAAATATGGCTGCAATCACAAAGAGCAGGCACTGTAAGAGACAAGACACCGGAGAGAGAAAAGTGGTCTGAAGATGTTAATGGGAAGAAAATGGCTCTCATTCGTCAGAAATTTATGGAAGCCAAACGTCTGTCTACTGATGAGAGACTACGCCAGTCCAAGGAGTTTGACGATGCCTTGGAAGTTTTAAGTTCAAATAATGATCTGTTAATCAGGTTATTGGATTCTCAAAATCTTTATGAACTTCAGTCTACTCCAGTAGCAGAGACAAAGCGTATTACTGTTCTTAAACCTTCGAAGATGGTTGATAACGAAAAATCCATTGGAAAGGGGAAGAAAAATGACAAGCAGATCAGGAAACCAGCAAATGTTGGTGCTGCATGGGAGAGATACAGCCCTGGATACACTCCTCCTAGTCAGAAAGTGGATGAGTTTCCAGTTCAACCTACACGTATAGTGGTATTGAAGCCTAGCCCTGGGAAGACTCATGAGATTAAGGCTGTGGTTTCTCCCACAATGTTGTCACCTCGAAATTTGCCTAGTGGAAATTTTTACCAGGAACCTGAAGATGATGATGTACTTGAATCGAGAAAAGTGGATAGTGAAATTACACAGCAAATGCATGAAAATGTGAGGAGTCATCAAAGAGATGAAACATTCTATTCTTCAGTATTTTCCAATGGCTATACTGGTGATGAGAGTTCGTTCAACAAATCAGATCATGAGTGTAATGCAGGGAATTTTAGTGATTTGGAAGTTATGTCACCATCCCCAAGACATTCTTGGGATTACATCAATCGCTGTGGCAGTCCCTTTTCGTCATCATCCTTCAGCCGGGCATCCTGTTCTCCTGAGTCGTCAGTATGCAGAGAGGCCAAAAAGCGCCTTTCTGAAAGATGGGCCATGATGGCATCAAATAAAGGTCCTCAAGAACAAAGGCATGTGCGCAGAAGCTCAACCTTAGGTGAGATGCTTGCTCTTTCGGATGTAAAGAAATCTGAAATATCTGAGCTTGAAGGTATTCCTAAAGAACAGGAACCAAATGAATCTGTTTCTTGTAGTCAAAATTTTAGTGCGGAAACATGTGTGGACGGTTCTCCCAGAAACCTTTCTAGGTCAAAATCTGTTCCGACAACTTCTACTGTCTTTGATAATGGGCTCAATGTTGAAGTTTGTGATAATGATGCTGGCAAAGCACATGTGTCTGGGGAGCTGACAAAGTCAAAGAGTATGAAATCATCATTTAAAGGGAAAGTTACCAGTTTCTTCTTCTCAAGGAACAAGAAACCAACCAGGGAAAAATCTTGTCTATCGCAATCTAAAAATGAATCTCAATCTACTCTCACTGGAGCATCAGATTCTCCAGTAAATACATCTGGAGTCCTCAGGGATGATGTGTCTCAAAGCTTCAACAGTGGCTCCATTGGAGAGTGTTCTCTTCCAGCTCCATATGAATCATCAGGCAAAATTTTATCAGATTCTGTCTCTATTGGACAAGGCACAATACCCGAGGAGGTATTACTTCAATTTTTCTGTATATTTTGATCCACTTTTTACTGTGCATTATACGAATTTTTTTTTTTTTTCGGTTTGTTGGCTTAAGATCTCTCATCAATGCTCTCTGCATTTTCCAACAACTCAGTCCTTGCTTTTCTCGCCTCTTGCAAAGGAAGGGAAAGAATGGAAACAATAAAACGGGAAAAAAACATCATTAAATATATATTGATTCTTCTAAATTGGGATGCATTTGGTTGGGTTGTATTGCTGTTTTCCTTTCCTTTTTTTTTTTTTTTATCTATACCAATATCTTGCCAAGTAACATGATAAAAACAGTCTTTTAATTCCAGTTTGTGCCTTCTTTACCTACTAATGACACTAGTCCCTTGAAACTAATGCATGAGTTGGAGGCTGCATGGCGTGGTGGCATATGGCAGGTTCTATTTAAGCAGGGTCTATACATGACCAATTATTTAGGATTTTCTGCTACTGTTGGATTTGTGGAACAAATGAAAACTTTGCCTCTATGAACATCATTGAGTTCTAATTGCTACTTGGTAAATAATAGAACTAGCTTTATTCTCAGTCAGCATAAGTAGTACATAGAGTAGAACCTCTATAATTTCTTGTTATTGCAGATTATTGAATGGTGAACTGAATGCTATCTGTATGTGTAGGATCATATAATTAAAATCTTATATCTGTACCGAAGGTTGGTAAATAAATAAACTGGAGGATTCTGAGACAGTTCTGCTTTGTTTTCAGTCAGGATTGACACTGTCAAAACCCACGGTGCCTGGGATTTCAAGTGAAAACCAGGGTCAGCCCAGTCCAATATCAGTTTTAGAGCCTCCATTTGAAGATGATAATGCTGCTAACGAGTCCTTGGGCTGTGGGAAGGGTGGTGCTCACCTTGGTACTTCTTAGTCCTTTCTATCACTATTGCTTCTATTTCAGAAAGTTCTTATTTGATATTGCTTGTCTTAGTTGTTTCATTACCTGACTATGTTTTTTTATTATTTTTAAGGATCACGTGGGTCTTTGAAGTCTAATTTAATTGACAAATCACCACCTATTGAATCAATAGCTCGGACCCTCTCGTGGGACGATTCTTGTGCAGAGGTAGCAAGTCCATACCCATTAAAACCCTCCTTGGGTTCCTTAGACACCAAGGTAGAGGATCAAGACTGGCTTATCTTTGTCGAGAAACTACTATCAGCTGCTGGAATTGATGATCAAGTGCTGTCGGACTCGTTTTACTCAAGATGGCATTCCCTCGAAAGCCCATTGGATCCATCATTGAGGGACAGTTATGCCAATCTGAATGACAAGGAGCCTCAGCAACTCCATGAGGCCAAGCGAAGGCAGAGGAGATCTAATCAGAAGCTTGTATTCGATTGTGTTAACTTTTCACTGATAGATATTACTGGTTATGGATCAGAGAATTACTTGACGGGTAGGTTGTGTAGTGGGAGCCACAGCAAGTTCCAAGTCCCAGAGGATGCACCTCCCCCATTGGTAGACCTCGTTATGGCACGGATGAAGGAGTTAATATCTGGTGCTATGAGGTCTGTTTGGGTGGATTGTGGGGACAGTAACAGCCTGGTGGTAGAGAGTGTTGTCAGAAAAGAGGTTGTGGGGAAAGGGTGGGTTGAGCTTATGCCATTGGAGATGGATATTTTGGTGAAGGAAGTAGAGGGGAAGTTGCTAGAAGAACTTGTGGAGGATGCTGTGGTTGATTTGACAGGCAGGGCCTGAATGGTTGAAACCCTGACATGGCTTTCCGCTTTGGCTTCGTTTTTTTTATTTATTATTGTAACTCTATTATTGTTGTATTCGATTATATCAACACACGGCCCTACTTACCTAATTTTATTAAATGCTACTGAAAAATTATTTAAACTTGCAGCTATTTCATATCACTCAAACTGTAATAAATTAATCACCTATTCGATTGCAGAACAAAGAATAAGAGGATTGCACAGGCCATAATTGATCGTGCAATTGGCCATGAATGCAATTTGGTTAAAGTTTAAGACATTTCACAAGACTGTTCAATATGAACAATAGATATCAATAAAAAATAGATTTTGTTCTATGAAATGTGGCGAGTCTAGAAGAAGTTTGTTAGTGCTACATCTGAAGAGGCCACGGTCCCAAACTTTTTAACCCAGAAAAGGAAGTTCAGGTTTTGCAAATGGCTACCCTGAAAAGGTTGTAGGAAAAAAGAAACAGCAAAAGTAGATGGATGCACTGTAACAGTCTACATTGGAATAAGTGAGTAATCTAATTCAGTTCTGACAATAGAATAAGTAGGTATTCACACTCGGTTTTTGAGTGCTCAATGATGAACGTTTCAACGCCGAGTGCATATGGAGTTACGTAACTTTTGTCACAGTCTGTATCAAGCGTAGACATGAATGTGGGCCACTGGTGCAGCACCATTTGTACAATCAACATGGAACAAGGACCCACCATAACCCCAAACAGATCAATCCTCTATTTCCTGTCTCCCCCTTGCAATTATCTGCTGGCTCCCAATAAATCATAATGCATGATGAACGATGGATTCGATTCACAAGTCACAACACAACGCATGTCCATACTAACAATAATGGTTTTTTGGTGACCCAACGTTAATCTTCTCAGTTATAATTTCCATAATCCACATAAACATAGCTAAATTCAGACCATGTTCAATTTGCCTGTTCTAATGCTGTGGTTGCTCCTACATGTTTATTCTACATGTAAAATGAAAGGGACGGATTTGAAGAACTACATCATATTTGTTTACATTTATTCACTCTGACTTGTATAAAAAAGAAAAACAAAAGTGGGCCATGCTCTCATCTACGCTCTCAAGTAGGAGATGAAATTGCTGAAAACCGCGTGACAATGAACGAATCTCTCAAATGTTTCCTATAAGTAATTCTGACATATTCTCTAATATTTAATACTGTAGTTACAACCTAATTTATACATTTTCTTTCATTTCTTTAGTATTTTTACTCTCCTTAAATTCAAATAATTTCACTTTTTTCTCCTTCCTCTCTTCTCTTTTTTTTTTAACCTCTCTTGGTTTCACACTTTATCTGTTTCTACTAAAAAAAACCAAATTTCAAGATGCGCAGAAAAGTGAAATACAATTTCTTCTTTTCAATCAAATAAAAAACACACAAAAACAGTATATAATCAATCAATTATGTATTTAATATCATAGATTATATGTCTTCTATGTCAAATATATCATTTTTTTCGATATCAAATAATAATAAATAAATAAATAAAAAGAAAATAATATTAAATAATAAATTTATTGCATGCTCTTACTATTTTTACTTTGATTCATCTAATTATTATTTTTTTCCATTTCCTATTTCTATTATCTAATCTAACTAAAACATGAATTTGAAACAAAAGATAAATGAATTGATACACACCTTTTTTGTGATGACTGATGTCCTATACAAGTAGTAAGTTACAAAAACAACATAGCCACACTGTCTAATCAGAACGCCTTTTAGGCCTAATAGTTGTCTCCAATCTTGTCATGAATGAAAACCAAAATAGATCACCCACTCTGTTCTGTTCTGTTATTTGGCTGTATCAATTAATCTGTGTGTACTATATTTGTGTTCAAACTATAATACAAGATATTGTGTTTTTCTCCAATTTCTAGGGATGATATTGGTGGTGATGTGCATATTTTTAAAATATGTAAAATACTTTGGCAATACAATAAAATAAAATACAAGGGTATTGTTAATGATTTTATTTATAGTATTATATAACTATCTACTTGGCTTCCAATTTGTTTTTTCTCTTAATATAAGATTCTTCTATTTAGTACACTAAGAAACATATGTGGTCCACTCTCTCTTTCTCCCTTTTCAAGTCTCTTGTCAAAATCCTTTTGTCATATTTGAGAAGAAGGGTTCATTCAGGATCGTACTGGCCAAAACAGGAGTTTTGAACCCCCAAAAAAAATTACTCTTTGAAAAAATATGACATTTTATTCTACATGATAAAATGAGTACAATTAAGGTCAACAATTGAAATCAACACAATAATGACATATTAGTGCCAAATTTTGCTTGACAAGTAGGCAAATTGCAAAACATTCTTTCAAAAACAATGATAACTGATCTAAGTCCTGGAGATAATGAGGAGATAGAGGTGGTCTAGTTGTATTATTTTTTACTCATGGAATGCAAAGAAAGAGGAAAAAAGATTCTGGGGTGCATGCATATGATAGGAGCCAGGTAATAGTCATAGCATAGCAGCTGAGTCTGAAACATGAATCACAAAAGGACAAGTATTTTCAAAATGTAAAAGGGTAATTGTCAACACTGAAGAAAAGTGAGAAAAAGGAGAAGAATATTCGGTTATGGCAGCCAGTGGCAGATGTTGTGTTGTTAGTGTGCAAATTCTAACAAGACTAGAAGCCAAAAAATGTGGGCATCTTCTACTTCAAAATTGAAGCTAACACACCCAGAAAACCCGTGACAGCTTTATCTATATATCTCTATATTACACTTTGTTCAACACACACAAGATAAGCTTTTAATATGATCAGCAACCATGTCTAGAATAATCAACTTGAGGTCATTCTTGAGATCCCAAAACTACTGCAGAACCCACAGATTAAGCATGATTCTTGAAAGGGACTAAGGTTTCTTTCTTGCTTGTCATTTCACCATCAAATTAAAAAGAGATAAAAAGATGCCTCTGGGTCATACTGATACAAAAAACTTTTTGCCTTTTGTTCATTTTAAGGACTTATATGACTTCAGTGTCTTGCATAAACTTGACTTCTTGGAATCTAATGCATCACAAGATGTTAAGCACAAACATCCCTTTGTGTTCCCAACCATTTCAGTTGAAAATTGAGTATCATTTTGCATGTAACTTACTTCAAAATAATTTTTTTGCAAAATATATGAGAGTAGAAACCTCTTTTAAACTTTCATTCAATCACAAAAGCCTTTTTCAAAGCAGTTATAATAAAGTGGATAATCTTATTATAAATATCACCTTCAATTGTATCTTTTTTTTGTTACAAATTATTATTATTATTATTATTATTATTATTATTATTATTATTATTATTATTATTTTCATTAAATTATAACACTTAAATTTTAATTGTTATGAAATATTCTGATTTAATAATTTATTATGATTTTTATTATTAACAATAAGTTCTATACAATATTTTATAGAATACATATTTCATCTAATCAATTATTTTCTCATGCATATAGTATTTTAGTTATAATTGCATGTTTTTTAAAATATTTGCTATCATTTAACTTTAAGTTATTGTTATTTTTATGGTTATAACATTATTATTACAACTTCTTAATTAATATAAAGACATGTACTCAATTTTAAAAGATTTTGGTTTTGATTTTTTTATTCATATTATTTTAATACTTCTATTAACTTATTTTTTTTTACTAATTTGTACATTAAATCTAATTTAAAAGAGTAAAGCAAAACATTTGTAATTATACGTCATGGATATTTTTTTAACCGTCCGAGAGTAAAATAAAAGTATAATAATTTAAAGAAAAATAACTATTATAATTTATATATTTATAAAAAAATATGGATACTGCACCTTCCACCAATCAAAATAACTATACATAATAGATAAGTTAAATTAATAATAATAGAAGATAGAAATTTATTATTTATATTTTTCATTTTTTATTAATATAAATTTTATTTGTATTTTTTAAAATGTGTTAAATATTTAACACTTCTGACAAATATTTCAAGATTTTTTTTTCATAAATATGAATAAGAAATATATTCCTAAAAAATGAGGGGAGGGTATAAAGTACTGCTTTAGGAGATAAAGGGGCTAAAGATACCAAACTTGTTTTTGTGGTTAGTAATCCAATCTAGCCCATTCCTTTTAGGTCCATTAATACAAAGTTATATAATCTAGCCCATTCTTTTTAGGTCCATTGTGACAAAATTGGATTCTTCTACCTGCGCTCCCATTTTTCTTGCATCCCATATTTTTTAATAAGACAATTATTTTATAAGTTTTATTTGATTTGTGAGGTAAAATATGTTATAGAATAATATTTTCTAAGACCTACAAAGTGGTATTTACAAATTTAAGATGCTGAGGAATAAAAATTTGGTTAGATTTTTATAGCTACCTGAAATTGAAGGGGTGTTGGAGTTTGTTGATCAAAGGTGTGAATGCTAATTATTGTTTATTAGATGTGAGTTGTTGTTGGTTCAACTCTTTCAAATGTTTTTTAATTTTAGAAGTTATATACTTAAAAAAATATTAAGTAAAATAATACACAAATTTATATTGCTAATTGTAATAATTACTCTAATAAAGAGACTTTATATTAGCCCTAAAAAAGTAACTGTGATGTGCACTAGTGCAAAAAGGGGCTTTTACGTCAGGTATTTAGGGCTTTTTACGTCGTATTTAAGATTAACGTTAAAATGAGAGACGTAAATTTACGTCAGTTGTCAAGACCCGACGTAATTTTGCGTTGCATATACCACTAAACAGACGTAAAAATTTTCGGAAATAAAAAAAAAACAGCAAATTTACGTCGCATATTGGTATACGCGACGTAAATTTGTTGTTTTTTTAAATTGGGTTGATTCTTTTTTACAACTAAAACTTGCAAATATATATTACAACCAAACAATCCAGGATGTTCAATTTTCTTTAGCTAGTAAATTAAAAATATAATATTATATAATTCAAACTACATAAT